TCCGCGAAACCCAAGGGAAAAAGAGGCTAGGTGGCGAATGGTAAAACCAATGTTGGGCATTGCTGGAAGAGCTTTACTTAAGGCGAACTGTCAAGGGGTTCCCATAATAGCCCAACCGCGTAAGGAACGCAAAATCCGGGAACATAACACCGATATGACGGAAACTAGGGCGGCAAGAGTGGAACAAAACACCAGGCATAAGGCCGAGCCTTCCACCCTTTACCAAGTATATAGATGCATTAATTAAGTAAGATATATTGTGATATCCCAACAAGTAAACATGTTCCAACAAGGAACAACATCTCCATGTTCCAACAAGGAACAAACTTCAATCTTCACCTGCAACTAACAACGCTATAAGAGGGGCTGAGCAAAGCGGTAACATAGCCAATCAACGGTTTGCTAGGACATGGTGGGTTAGAGGTTTGACATGGCAATTTGGGAGGCTGACAAGAAAATGGTAGGCATCGTAGCATTGGCATAGCAAAAGAGCGAGCAAACTAGCATAGCAAAGATAGTAGTGATTTCGAGGGTATGATCATCTTGCCTGAAATCCCGCAAGGAAGAAGAACGAATCCAAGAAGAAGACAAACGGCCGTAGACGAATGAATCCTCACAACTCCGGAACGAAACCGAAGCTAACGTGAGAAGCAACCCGGAAAGGAACAAACAACATAGTAAACACACAAGCATAAACAAGTCATGATGCACAAACAAGTATGATGCATGTCCGGTTTAATGAGGCATGGCATGGCAAAGTGCAACAAACAATACTACAAGTTAAGTGGAGCTCAATATGCAACGAGGTGCATGTTGACGAAACACCCCATCGATTATTTAGTTATCTCTCGTTATGTACCCAACAATATTAAGTGTTGTTAAACATGGCAAGAGGGTGAAGCAAATGAAAACTACCTATCTAGGCAAGGTTAAATGAGGCCGGAACACAAACAACACTTCCGGAAAAACCCCATGTTATTTAGCAGTTTAATGCCAACACAATATTAAACATTTTAATTGTTGTTATCATGATGCGGATGACATATACAAGTATGCAATTTTTTATGAAAATGTTGACATGAGCATGATAAGAAGCATTAGTCGCCATGGCGGAAGGAAAAAGGTACCACGGCGGCGAAACAAAAATGGTGCCACGGCAACATATCCGAAAATGATGCCACGGCAACATATCGGTTGCGGTAGCTCACGGAGATACCGGTACAAAAGGAAGTGAGCGTGAGCGAGTCATGCAAGATGGTGGGGTGCTCCCGGCTACCGGGTTCCCACGGGATTGTGGCATGGAAACGAGGAGGAACTTGCAATGACAATTCGAACATGGTGCAAACACGTGCATCTCATACAACGTGCATTCGGTCCACGGCGGTCGTTTCGGGTTATACCTTCGAAGCGTTCAAACGAGACGGTTCGCATTCGGAGCGGTGTAGAGGAAGTAGGCGTTCACGGGACGTCGTCGGAAGTAGTTGTACACGGCGTCGGTAGAGGAAGTAGTTGTTCACGTGGCGACGGTAGTGGAAGTAGTTGTTCTCGCGATGGTAGTGGAAGTAGTTGTTCTCGCGATGGTAGTGGTTCGAGGTCTTGGCGGGTCATCATGTAGCCGTACATGTTCGTCGTGGTACACCGTTCGTAGAAGTTCGGGCGGCGGTAGCGGTACACGTTTGACGTTTTGTAGTCGAACTTGACGTTTCCAAGGGGCTCCGAATGTCGTGGTACTTGGCGAAAATTCTCGAAGATGACCTTGACGATCCTGGTTTCGGAGCAGAGGCGAGGCTGGCTGGCTACGACCGGCCTTGCAGCCGCTGCGGCCCACGCGAGCGAGCAGAGGAGGCTCACGCAGGAACTTGGCGGGCGCCGCGAGTCATCGGAGGCCGGGGACGGGGCTGCAGGGCCGGCTCGGCACGGGGACCTGGCGAGCGTGTGGAGAGGCGAGGACGGGGCGTCGGCGAGGCTCCGGTGGCCGGCTGGCCGGGGCCAGCGCGAGGAGACGCGGGTGACGGGGAGGCGCGGCGCCGGAAGACTGCTCGGGGATCCGTCAGGCGGGGCCCGCGCCGCGGCGGCGACGGACAGACGAGGAGGCGGGCGAAGAGGAGGTTGGGCGCGTGGCCGGTGCTCGAGGGGCTCCTCTCCTCGACGCTCGGCGACAGGGAGTTGGCGAGGAGGAGGCGCGGGGAAGGAAGGCAGCAGGGGCACGGCGAAGACTGGCGGCGGCGGCCGGTGCTCAAGGGGCTCCTCCTCGTGGCGCTCGGACTGCAGGGAGCTCGGGGTCGCGGGAGAGAGATGGGATCGAGCAGGAGAGGCGATGGGATCGGACGATGGGTGACTGGCGGCGCTGGAAGAGGACGAAGGGAGGGAGAGATGAGGGGATCGGGAAACTAGGGTTAGAGGGGGGCGCTGCTGGGCCTAGGCCTTGGGCCGGTCTGGCTGCGCGGGTGGCTGGGCCGAGCTGCGGTAGCTGGGAGGCCCAGTTGGGCTGGCTTCTCCATCTCTCTTTTCTTTTCCTTAATTCTTCAACCAGAATTTAGGAGAAAAGAAAGAGGTGCTAGAGGTGGAATATTTCAGAAAAGAAAATATCCCTGGAGTCTTGAGAATATGCAGAATTTGAATAAATTGGTTTGGCAATTTTTAGAGGAAGAAAAATAATTCAAGTTTGAATTAAATTCAAACTTGAGCCATTTTAAAACCTAACCAAAACATTCCCAAAAGAGGTGAAATTTGGCGGTGGGGTTTAGGGCAATAAGTTTGACTATTTGGGAGAAGGTGAACATTAAAGGAGAAGGGGAAAAATGGCACTTGTCAAAAGAAGGAAGTAGAGGGAAGGAGAAGGATCGGGAGGGGATCCCGAGAGGGTTTGGTCGGGTGGCGGCGGAGGGAACGGGAGGATGGGACAAGGCGCCTAGGATCTAGGGTTGGATATATATATAGGTAGGGGATGGTAGGAACTAATCCGGTCCGTCCGATTATAATCGGGCGGTCGTAAATAAATAGGTTAGATAGCCCGAATAATAAAACGAAGATATTTTGTAGATGTTTGGGGATGATCCGGACACAGCGGTAACGACTGTCCGAGTCGGGTCCGGGACAGCTTTCGGGCGCTCGCGTGAGGGGCTCGATGCACTGTGCAGAGAGGGTTTCGGACCGCGCGATCGCATCGGGCAACTCCGGAAGCGAAGAGGGGAAGGAGGATGGACTAGGTGGGCTGTGCAGACGGTCTCGAGCTGAGAGAAGAGAAGAGAGGGAGGCCCGGCGACTGTTTCCGGAGACCGAAAACGTCCGACGTTAGACCGGCTACTATTGCCGCTATATTTATCCGTTGGGACGTCAAACGGACTCCGAATGCGATGAAACTTGGCAGGCGGTCTACTGACAACAAAACGACACCGCATGCCAACTTTCAACCCATTCCGAGAACATTTTCCGGCCACTAATAAAATAATATTTCGGACGTGCCGCGGGCGCGTGCAAGTGTGGTTGGGCTCAAAACGGACAACGGAAGGAACGAGGAGACCGGGACGGATGCAAGTTTTGAAAACATGATGATGCAATGCACATGATGACATGATGAAATGCAACACGCGAGCCAATGACAAGACAACAACAACGAATAACTGAACGACACCTGGCACATCGGTCTCGGGGCATTACATACTCCCCATGGCTACAAGGGGAAAAGCTTACATATGCCGTGCCTACATATTTTGAGATCTCCAAGAGGAGAAATGTGCACATTAAAGATGCATGCATTAGAGACGAGCTTCACGATCGTGCTTGGATTGGGAAGATTGACATGAGTATGACTTTTTGATCACGCACATTCAACAATTTTACAAGCTTTTGACAATGCTTGCCCAGGTTCAACTTCAAGATGACACCGTGGATGATTTTTTTTTTCAACTTCACCGCCCTTGAGGAGTCTATTAAGTAACTTCGTCTTACGCGACATTGTTCGTTGGTGCCTCTTCCATCACCATATGGCAGTCCATTTAGAACCATTGGACGCCATCCAAATGCAAAATTTCCACATGGTTTGTCTATATTTAGTCAATGGATCATCCAAAAAAATGGGATGGCCAAGCTGCAGGAAATGCCAACTTTATAGGAGGCAAACGGAGACCACACACGGATTTTGTTCAAATATATGCCCGCAATCAGAATGTGCGGTGTCATCAAGAGCTGGATGGATCTTCCGAAGTTTTAGGCAGCTACTTAGGTGGGTTGCCCTAGGTTGACGTTTGGCCGACGACCATGATTCTTGGGAGAGGGCATAGGTGGAAGGATATGGAATCGCTTGTTATGCTACGCTTTGCTGCAGCCTCGACCCCAACCCGGCCACGCGTATTGAAACGGACGAGATCATGGAGCACCCCTGGTTCTGCCATGACGCGAACGACGGCGGAGGCGAGCAGGAGCAACTGATGCGCGGCCACAAGGAGGCGGCGTGGTTCAATACGGAGTTCGAGGAGGAGATGGCGCGGGATATGACCGCGTTCGACATCCTGGCCTTCTCACCAGGCTCGGACCTCTCCGGGTTGTCCGGTGTCAGGCCGGGCACGGAGCGGGTGTTCGTCGGCGAGCCCGCGGCGGTCGTGCTGGCCCGGGTTGAGGATGCTGGGAAGAAGCGAGGGCACCGTGTAAGGAGGGAGGGGAAGAACCGCACTATACCGGTGTTCGTGGAGGCGGTGGCCGGCGGCATTGTCGCCAAGGTGACTGTGTTTAGGATCGCCGAAGCGTTATCAGTGGTCGAGGTCGTGAAGGGCCATGATGCGGAGGCCACGACGTTCTGGAAGGATTGGCTAGAGCCAGCCATGAAGCCTCGAACAGTGTGAAAAACTTACAGAGTGCGAGCCGAATATCATATCGTCTCGCCGTGCTGGCGCCGCGGAGCGCGCATCGAGAATTGTTGTTTCAATGGCGGATTATTTTGATTTCTTTTCTTCGGGTCGTGTTAAAGCGGCTGCAATGTGGTGGGGGGAAGAATTCTTGCCAACTCGAGACAACAATCGCAATCGCCACTACTCACAGGGGCACGGGCACGAACACATCGCCCGACGACATGAAACTCGGCTTCCGCGCCGCTCCCTCGATAAAGGTTGGGCAGGATGGAAAAGTACAACGGACTTGGATCGCAAACTTGCACAGATCGACAGGGACTGCTGGGTTACCTTCGGCAGCGTGATGAACCGCCGAGTGCTGTGAGCTGGGTTTGGTAAAGATTGTGATTGCCTTGCCTCTGGCGCGCCCCGTGATTTGATGTTTCAGCGCCGAACTGTTTTCTTGTTTGTGGTCGTGCTAATGGTGTAGTGCATCAGCACGACGTGTCGTTATCCTATACCTAAATAGTTGGTCCTCACTAACTCTAATTCTCCTAACATGCAGCCCTTCACATTATCATCCAATAACAATATTTTGTAGCACATGCATACCCTATTTAATTGTTCTTACTCCAGAAATACATGCATACTCTGTATTCACAAACAATTACTTCCAAAAATAATGGTTTTTGATTTAGATCATTCCGTTTATACATAATTCATCTGAAACTATTTTTTTAAAATCTCGGAACAATGCGTGGGGAAGTCACCTAGTTGTATGAATGGGTGAGTTAAGCCATCGAAATGTCTCTCTGTCGGCGCTACAGGAGAAAGAAGATGATAAATTGGTAAGGCAAACATGGGCGTCTAATTTGGACGGTGACTTGACTTGTGTCAAGTGTGCACCATACGGACGTTTACCGGCAAGCAGGGAAGAGCCGTACGGCTACGGCTCTTCTCCGTGATAACGATAAGCCGGCGGCCGGGCCGTATCATTTTCGAACCTCGAGGTTGCAACCTAGGACGCGACGTCCGCCTGTCAGTAGCGGCGCCAGGTTCTAGAGGGTGGGTATTCATTTTGGAGGAGGATATTCATTTTGCCCAAATAATCACTGTTTTGCAAAAAAAATCGCTTCTTTTATATAAAATTTCAATGGTTTGTCAAAATCTTGGGTATTCAACTGAATAACCAAGAAGACCCCTGGCGCCGCCCCTGCCGCCCGTGGATCAGAAAGTTGGCCCGTCCGAACAGAGTCATTCCCAGCCGATTTGCCGGAATCGGATAGCACTGGTCCGTCCCCGCCCGCCGTCGGTGCATCGGGCATGCCCTCAGATTTACAGCTTGTTGCCGGAGCCACGCCAAGCCGGTGCCAATCATTGCCGGAGCAAGGTCGACACGGTGCCACCGACGGAGCTCTGCGTCGTGTGAGTGAAACCATTGACCTGCGCCAACCCCATGGCCAAGTTGGCCTACCCAAGCTTCCACGTCCGTCTCCCAACCGAAGCCAGCGCAGCACCACCGTCGCGCTCGTGCACCGCACCCCGGATTCTCCCGTACCGTCGTCGAGATTCCTCCGTGCACGGTGGCAGGTCCGGCACGGGGTACATGGTCTGAGGGTCCCCGTCCACCGGCCACCTAACGTTCGCTCGTCCTCGACCGCTGGCTTGTCACCGGTGGCGGTGGGTGATAAGCGAGTGGTGCCATGGAGTTCATGCGTTATAGTTCAGCCACAAGATCTGAACTGATCAGTTGGAGCATGATAGGACGCGTGGTGGGTGATAGCATACGGGAGTCCCCCTTGTTCCTGTTTGTTTCTTCTGTGGGCGCTGATCATGACCAGTGGTACATTCTGGTGCCGATGCCAACCCCATGTGCTCTTGTCCATCGATCGTGCGGTCGTCCGAAGCCTGGCTGGCTGGCTCGCCCCTGGTTCGTCAGGTTGCCCACCTGCGACGCTCGTGGCCGGAGACGGAGACTGTGGCCACCGCCATAGCGGTCGGCCTCGGCCATGCGCCATGCCATGCCGCCGGGATAAGGATGAAGTTCGTCGGCTCGGTGCCGTGCAAGCTGGCCCCTGATATAGACCGAACCTCGTGGCGAGACCCGATCCGTTGTTGCGGCCCGACCTTTCACGACACTCCAACTTCAGCAGTAGCAACCTCTCGCCCGCGCACGTGATGTACACGAAGTAGAGGGTTTGAACCTTGCGGCCCAGCACGAGAAAACCAATCTCGACGAAGGTACTCACGCGCAAAACAATTTTCACGAAGAGAAAATCGCAACACAAAGGTTTTCAAAGATCCCTCCAAAACTTGATACGGGTGTCTACCCTGAAAAACACATCATGTTTATTTCATAAAAAAATAACCTCCTTACATGTGACGCACTTTGGCTTTATATATCAGCTGACACCTAACAAAGTTGGAAACCAAATATATTTCTATCCTAGACTTGCACGGCAACACAAAAAATTAAATAAACTTTAAACTGACTAGGTCTCTACCGTCCGGATGACTTGCATGCAAGCATGCAATCTTTTACAAGCCAATTTAAACAACATAACGTGAACTAATATGGACTGATGCGCCATACATCATCAAGTGCATCTCTATCCGCAGGTGGGCCCCATCCGATTTCTTTTAAGGTAAGCTGATCACGTATTAACAATCCATTCCATACACGCTCTTTCCATGGTAAGAAGAGGAATATAAAATAATATACATATTTGATCCTCACATTGCAACTGATCTTGGTTAGCAAACACACAAGATCCATCATGGACTCCTTGATGCCTCCTTGTAAACGTGGCTCACCAAAATAGTTGGAATATTCTTTTCCTTGTTTTTCTTCTAATGCATGAAAGTCTAACGCACAAGAAATTATCATCTCAACCTGAACATGCTTCTCATCTTTCCAAATGCACATGGCCTGTAACGATTCAGCGTGCATGCATGTATCTTTTATGAGCGGTTGCTCGTCTTCGTAACTTAGCAGTGAGCACTTTGACATATATGCAGTGTACTTTTGGACACAACCGGCTTCTGGCGAAACATCGACGACCTTAGTGTCTATACTACAACAGGTCGCATCAGCCCCTGCCGCGACCGCGATCGATCGGCCGTCCGGCCGGGGATCAGCTCAAGTGCGTACACCGCTGCATTATTCCGGTGCATCTCACCCACGAGCTGGAGCGATGCGACGACCTGACCCCGACACGGTCGATGGCACGGTTCCGTAAGAGAAACCAGAGTTCCCGGCCACAAACACCGGAGAGGTGTGCATGACGCTCTATCTGCGATGCATGAGTCTGAAAACATATTATAGTCACGGGTCCTTATCATCAGTATACATGACACCTCATCTCACATAATTGGCGCAAAATATTACTGTTAACAATTTTGGGTTATAGGAAAAACAATTGCCAATTATTGCCTGGTGCATCCACACATGGGTGAGACGAGATGATGGGCTGAGAAACAGGTTCAGTGGTCGAGTGGTGCTGCTGACGAACATGAGTGCAGCGCTTTGCTATCTTGTTTTAGCCTGTGTGGAAGTGACATGTGGCCATGTGATGTTAGAGATCTCCCGCCGCGTCCCTAACAGGTCCTCCTCAGACGTTTTTGCCGTGCCGGCGCCGAAAAAATGGCCCAGTTGCGCCTCCAGAAGCTCGTTTTTCGCCGGCTCGGACCGAAACTGGTGCCGGCGGACCCATGCCGAACCCGGCGTCCTTGGGGCGCCTGGGGCGCCGGCACAAGTGAAAAGGGCGCGTGGGTCCGCCCTGTCGGCGAGGCGGGCGCCTCTTCCCGCCGTTTCTTCCCGCTTTTTCCCACTTCCCTCCCATATTCTTCCTTCCTCCCGCCAATCTCCCTCCCGCTCGCTTTCCAGCCGGCCGCCATGCCATCGAAGAAGTACATCGCCCCCTGCGCGGCGGCAACCGCGACCGCCTCCGTCGCCCAGCCGAAGCAGAGGAAGCCGAGGGTGCCGCCGATCAAGCTACCGGGCATGTCAAACGCCGAGCGGAGGGCGGAAGTTCAACGAAGGAAGGCTGTCACCGCTGACCGGCGGAACAGGACCATCGCCAAGAAGGCCCGCGACAACGCGGCGCGTGATGGGGTTATGTACCTAGGGTAGGGTCATGGACCTGTTCCAAGTAACTTACCCTAGGACATCCCTAGAAGAGGTCGCCTTCCAGTCGACCAACGAGGATTCACTCGACTGGCCTGAAGGACTCGACCACGAAGACTCACTCGACCACCAGGAGGTCAAGAGGCACTCTGCACCGCAACGGCCTGTAATTAAGTAGACTTTATGATAGTAAAGGCACTTTATGTGGAGCGTTACCAGTAACGCCCCAGACTTAACTCACCTTAAACCCTCTCCTACGTGGGCTGGCTGGGGTCCTGGCGCACTCTATATAAGCCACCCCCCTCCACAGGCAGAAGGGTTCGGCACCTTGTAATCCATACATTCATAATCCACTCGACCGCCTCCGAGCTCCGAGACGTAGGGCTGTTACTTCTTCCGAGAAGGCCTGAACTCGTACATCCTTTGTGCTTACAACCTCTCCATAGCTAGGACCTTGCCTCTCCATACCTACCCCCCACTCTACTGTCAGGCTTAGAACCACGACAGTTGGCGCCCACCGTGGGGCAGGTGTTTTAGCGATTTTGTGGAGAAGTTGCGATTCTTCCGAGTACTTTCATCATGGTGTCTGCTGGAATTTTGGTCGAGGGTCAAGAGATCCGTCTCGGCGCTCTCGCCTTCATCGCCGACGACTCCGCATGGCTCCAGGAGGCTCCACTCGACGTAGATGCACTCCCCGTCCGCGGTGCGACGCATTTTCGCGCATGTGTCCGCGGCGTTCTGCTGCGGCAACCATCGACCCAGTATCGGTCGGCTCCTCCATCTTCCACCCTCCCGGTCTCCCGCCAGCGCAAGCGCTCAGGCCGGTCGAGGCTTCAGCGATGGGTGAGTCACGCGGTGGCTCGCCAGTCGGCCACTACACAAGTTGCGG